TGTGTGTGTGTGTGTGTGTGTATAGCGGCCGTGGTGTTGGACTGTGTCAACATGGCTCCTGCTGCTGGCAAAGTGACTCCTAAAGACAGTCAGTATGTCTCCATGTTGGAGAATCGTTTCCCCACTCTGCCACCGAGAGGCGCTCTCTTCCAGTTGCTGGAGAGTGCCAAGTTTGACGTCTCAGGTGAGTTCACCTGTTCTTTAAGGTATTCATTGCATTATGAGAAGTATTTATTTCTGTATTTTGTAATATTTATTTTGGTATGTTTTAGTAGTATAGTATTTTGTGGTATTTTCAGCAGCATTTTGTTGTATTTATTGCAGTATTTTGTCCTTAGGTCTGAACACTGAACAGATGTTGTTGAAGGACATGAAAGCTGTTTCAGGAAGTCTCAATGTTGCTGTTTCTGTTCTCTACATCACACTGGAGGTCAGTACACACTATACTGCATACTGCCCTGCATAGAATGTATGACTGTACTGCATCAGAATAGTGCGCATGCACAAAGTCGTGTGCTGCCTGTTACGAGCGCTCCCGATACCCAACCACTTTTTCTGATTCTGATACTGAACTACACTGTACAACACTCGTGTACGTGTGTGTGTTAGGAGTTCCTTCAGAGGGCGGAGTTGGAAGCGGAGCTCTCAGGTTTCTGTCAGGGGTTGGGATTTGATTTGCTGCTGCTGATGACCATCTCCTTCACTGAGAGCAAAGAGCCAATCAGAGAGCTTGCTGTGTTCAGCCACAGCCGCACCTGCAGGCAACAGGTAAACATGATCGGACATCGTCTTGACTGATGGGTGTGTTTGAGTTGCCATGACAATCACAGCTGTCCACCCTCCTCAGATGAGCCACTACCTGGAACAGGCTTGTAACCCCGCCCTCAATCTCTGTCCAATCAGCAGCCCCCATCCTCACATCACAGCCTATCAGCAAGGTAACCTGTCCAAGATTGAAAACCACGTTTCCACAGTTTCGTTAGAAAATGTTGTGACGTCCAGTGACCAACGGTTCCATAGTAACAGTTGCGACACTTTAAACATAATGACAAAAGTAAACTGGATAAAAAGATGTGATGACGGTCGAAGGTCAAAGGTCGCCTTTATTCAACAGTAACTCAGAAGAGACGCTGCAACCTGATTGGTCGGTGGAGGCAGAGTTTGAACTGGTTCCTTCAGATTCTTATTGATTGATTTCTACTGACACAATGTTTGTTAAATCCAGGAAACACATTGGCGTCTCGTAAGAAGGTCCTCCCCATCGTGAAAGTTTTCCTGAAGGAGCTGGACGGAGATGGTTGCCTGGGAAATGTGGAGGAGGAGGAGTCTCGGGTCCCTCCAACTCCAATGAACAGTCTGGTGGAGGGTTGTCCCCTGGACGACGGCCTGCCGCACATCAGCACTCAGGACCTGGTGGAGAAGGTCAGCAAGATGGCTGACAGAGGAGGGAACTGACCTCTGACCTCAGCAGGAAGTCTGAAAACGATGAAGGAACCGAGACGATTAGGAGTTTGTTTATGTTTCAAATCTGAACATGGGCGATGTCAACAGAACCAACAACCAAATCTTCAGAACCAGTCGGAGGTTGGTGTGTTTTTCTGGATCGGTTCAGACTCTGACACCAGACTCTTAGTCTTGCAGTGTCACTGTTCATCCAAAGGGGCTTCAGGGGATAATAATAATAATCAATTATTAACAACTGAAACGGTGATAATGACAACAATCAATGCAGATTAAAATTTCTGAAGGTTTGTCAAAGTTTGTTACAGTTGCTAAAATCTGTTTCTAGACATGAAAACACCAATGTTGACTCAAATCAGCATGTTAACCAGCTAGCTTCGGCCTTTTGTCACCCCACCCGACAGGGACCGCTTTCAGAGAAAAACCAACATAATGAACCTTAAGTGAAACTGTCCCTGAACAGAAGGAAGACAGAGCGCAACACTTTGTTTCACTATATTATCTGAGTATCAAAATGCCATGCTTGCTAGCGTGGAGTAGCATACAGATGTTCTTAAGTCATTTTCAGATATATGAGTCAGTCCAACATAACGTCTGTCTCTCTTGCCCCCTTCAGGCCCTCAGAGTGAGTGCTCCTTCTCTTTGTTGTCTCATGTAAAATCGTTCTCCTACATGAAGTCGTCCAGTCCGAACATGCAGCAGTTTCAGAGAGCTGTGGACCAGGAAAAGTCTAACAATATTCATGCTCCATCGCTAACGTAGTTAGCACACACGTTAGCACACATCGTTAGCCCAATTCATGCTTCTGCGTTGAAGCTACATCATAGCCCACGTGTAGACATGTACCCTACGCAGAGCCCTACGTTGTACTCTCTGACGTGCACCTCCCCAAAAATGAAACTATGCGTCAAGGCGACGCAGATCAGAGCTGTGATTTGTCCGCTTGATAGCATCTCCAGAAGGCGTGCCATTTTTGAATTGAGATGAAGGAAGGAACACGGACAACGTCTTTATTTTGTTGCAGTTCTTTAATAAAATCTATTTGCTCTTCAACATCTATCAGCTCCAACATGATCCGCTTAGTAACACACGCCATTGCTACGTGCGTACCTATGGCGTAGCTCCGACGCAGAAGCATGAATTGGGCTTGAGCTCGGTTTACTTTAGTATTAACGTCACTGTTGCCCTGAACCCTGTTCAGAAATCTGTCAGATCAATAAAGTTTTGTTTGATCGTTTGGTTGAATATTGCTATTGACGTTTTATTGATCAATTCAAATATTCAATCAATTCAACAACCTAAAGATTTTATTTCACAGTTGTCATCGCATCCGCCGTGTGTCAGAAAGTGGTGACTCCATGTTTCTCTTGCTTTACTGTCCTCACTTGTCTCCCACCGTCCTCACCTGTCTCCCTGTCCTCACGTTTCCTCTGTCCTC